TAAGTCTCTATGTCTACCTTACAGTTTAATAGATATCGTATATTGAAAATTTTTTTAATGTCTTTTGATTTTTTTAACACGGCGTGCCAGTGTTTTATTTTAAAGGGTTCTAGTGAGATAATTTCCAATTCTGGAACAGCCTCTTTGAGTGCGTTTTTTACTTCCTCTTTATTAAATAATAAAGGAGGAATTTTTTTTATTATTATGTTATGTGGCTTTATTTGTTTAGGTGTGTATGTAAAGAAATTCATATTATTTTTTGACAGTATTGTTTTGGTTTTTTCGAGAGTTTCGAGGGAGAAAGTCTTAATATGGGTAACATTTTTATTTAAGATGTTTAAATTAAACTTATAGTTAAATATACCTTTTAGTTTTGAAGGATTTTCGTTGTAGAGTACTATGACCGGTAGGTTCTTTATATTAAGGTCTGGTTCAGAAGTCGAATCCTTTGAGCCTGCGGTCTTCTGGGTAGGAGTTGTCTTGGCAATTGTAGCTTTTGTAGCTTTGTTTTTCTTAATCGTTGTAGATGCTTCCAGGGGCGGAAACATGACGTCTTTGTTGTTATTTCCATTCGTTGGACGCGGAAAGTTGTCGACAATTGGTGTTTCGGCGGTTTTGATGTTTTGTTGTAGCATGAGAAGTTTGTTCTGCTCTCTTAATTTTTGTAGCTCCTGAAGTAGTCCATGGAGCTCTGCGTTGGTGATTTTCGAAGGTGATTCATCTTCATCGTCTTCTTCTTCTTCTTCATTGGATTCGTCGAAGCTGGATTCAGATTCTTCTTCAGATGATGTTGTGTATTTACGCTTATTATTTTCGCTTTCGAAGTCCATTTCATTGTTATCGGAATTAAGGCTGCTTTCATGTGTATTAGGTATTTGCTTTACCGTTGGTTCTGTTATTGTTTTGGTAATATTTGTTGGTATGTTCGCTGTTGCTTCAGGAACTAACTGCGTGGATGATGTACCGGGACTCTTTGCCATTAAGGCACTGATGATTGTTTTTTTGTCATATGGCATGATTCTCAGTTTACGAGGGCTTTTATTGGTTTTGCATTTTTGGGTGACCGACGCCAGTGCTGCATATGCAACCGTCGGTGTTATATTGTTTTTGTCCGTTTGATTCACTTTTCTTATTTCTTTTATATATTTTTCAGTCACTATCTGTATTATTGAGAATTTCGAAATTCTAAGAAATTGAGCTTTTCTCAGAAGCTGCCTTTCCACTAGTTTTCGGCGGCATTATTTCAGTTCACTTTTAATTTCACAAACACAATTCACTGATCATAACGGAGCATTTTCATTCATTCATTTATTGTAAAAATTTTAGTTCAGATATACAGTTATTCTTAAACAATAGTACAACATGATTGACAAGGTTCGTGCTTACTGACTATTTAGAAAATTATAGTTTAATCCTGCGCTTCAAGCTAATCTGGGCTTTAGTCTTTTAATCTTGATCTTATGATTTCTGCTAATGTGAGTATATTATTGTATCTTAAAAATAGTTCAATTTCATTTGATTTGGTATGTTCCGGGAAAAAGTTTTTTATAAAAGCCCTGAGTACATTAGTTTTGATTGTTTTGTTTGAGACTTAAATCTATGTTATATACTATGGGTGAGGGTAAAGTGGATATTTACAGGTGGGGAATATGTATAAGGAAGTGGGTGGATCAACTAAATTATATTGAGATTTCATGATATTGTTTATGATTTAGGTATTTATGTATGTTCTTTTATTGACTTATTTTGTAGACTAGGCCTCTATGGTAGAAAATAAGATTTCCGACCTCGTCGTACAGAATTCCTTTTTCCATGAGATCATTTCTATGGTGTATGGTGATTCAGTTCAGTTGGTAAGTATGGAGGGATTTGAGTTTGTGATATGTTGTTTGTGATGATGAATTAATCTAAGATGAGAATCATTTGTCTATCTAATCTTGTAGTTTTAGTTATTGTGTGGTTTTATTTGGTTTATAGTGATGTGTAAATATATCCCTGCTTTGAGGACCAATAGATATTCGAAGTATTTTACGTTCAAGGCGACGAAGTTCCTCCATTATATTGGTGCTTATATTCATCCATGCAATACAGCCATAAGTGAGAACTGGTTAAATTAGTTTTTTGTAAGCAAGTGTGGACATTTAATTATAGAGTTTATTTCATTTCTTTGTGCGGTCGCAAACGGCTTATAAATATGATTAATTAAATTTAATATAGTGTATGCATTCTTTTTGCAGTACTCTAAGTGTTTTTTAAAGTTAACTTTTTCATCGTATATTACTCCCAGGTATTTCAGTTCCTCGTCATATTTTACTTCTTGGTTGCCGTATATGTACACTTTAGGTACAAATTTTCGATCGTTTTTGTAAATTCCAGTGAGGCATGATCTTTTGAAAATGGAGCTTATGCATTTTTATACCCGTTTCTCGTAGAGTAAAAGGGTATATTGTATTCGTGCAAAAGTATGTAACAGCTAGAAGGAAGCGTTTCCGGCCCTATAAAGTATATATATTCTTGATCAGGGTCACTATCCGAGTCGATATAGCAATGTCCGTCTGTCCGTCTGTCTGTCCGTCTGTCTGTCCGTATGAACGCTGAGATCTCGGAAACTATAAAAGCTAGAAGATTGGCATTTTGCATGCAGATTCTAGGAGTTCCTACGCAGCGCAAGTTTGTTTCAAAAAGGTGCCACGCCCTCTTTAACGCCCACAATCGCTTATATACGATTTTAAAAATTTAAATATTTCGGAAAAGTAAAAATGCAGTTTTATTGTGTTTATATATACCTATCGAAATGTAGAAGAAATTTTTCAAATCGGACCATTCGTTAAAAAGTTATGCGTGATCAAAGTTTCTATCTCCATCTCCCTCGCACTCCCTTTACTTGAGTAACGGGTATCTGATAGTCGGGGCACCCGACTATAGCGTTCTCTCTTGTTTAGCATTCAGTTTAATTTGGTAAAGTAATTGCATAGCATGTCTAGGTATGTATTAATGTCATTCTGTGCACTCGACTTATATCCTGCGGATATTTCGTCAGAAGTTTGTAACGCAGTGAAGGAGACGTTCTGCCCGTCTGTTTCAATACCGATTGCGAGCTCAGTTTAAAAGCTAGCGATCTGAAACTTTCACAGTCGTCTTAAAATCAGTTAAAACCGCCCCCATCGGATGTCTATATCCTATAGCTCCCATAGGAACAATAGGATGAAATCGGTTGAAATTTAATGATTTTTAGGATATTTCGCGCAGTATATAAGCAACTGTCATGAATCATTCCAAATCGTATTTTTTAATGCATACGTTGATCAGGACGTCTATATCTTATAGCTCCCATAGGAACCATAGGGTGAAATCGGTCCAAATTTTATGATTATCAGAATATTTCGCGCAGTGTGTAAGCTACTGACATAAATTTTCTATTTTTATATGACATTGTTGCAGTATAAAAGCAATTGACATGAAACGATGCAAATCTAGTTTACTTATGTATACCTTATTCCTTTTGCTACTTTTTCAGTCCGTCGACAGGTCTGCAAGGGTATTAAAACTTCGGCTTGCCGAAGTTAGCTTCCGTCCTTGTTTTGTATTATTTTAATGGTTTCTGGTCTAAAATTAAAATGTTGGCTCATTTTGTAGATGAGTCCAGCAGGCCAGATTTCCGTAAATGAAATCATTGGCTGCAGCAGATGCCTGATTAGTTGATAGTCCGTCTTTGAACCCGCACTGATTTTCTTTTAATATTCTGTTGGAATTCAGGTGTCGTTTAATTTCTGATGCTATTACTTTTTCTAACAGTAAACTTATTGCGGATAGTATTGCAATTGGTCTAAAAGATCGCAAGCTGTTAGGCTTGTTTTTGGGATTAGGATGACTTTGCTGTGTTTCCATTCAGATGGAAAATATCCTGTATTGAGGCAGTGATTAAATATAATTGCTATGTTATAATTGAAAGTTACTTGTGCCATCTGGGCCCATAGTTATACCCGTTAATCGTAGAGTAAAAGGGTATATTGTATTCGTGCAAAAGTATGTAACAGCTAGAAGGAAGCGTTTCCGACCCTATAAAGTATATATATTCATGATCAGGATCACTAGCCGAGTCGATCTAGGCATGTCCGTCTGTCCGTCTGTCTGTCCGTCTGTCCGTCTGTCTGTCCGTATGAACGCTGAGATCTCGGAAACTATAAAAGCTAGAAGATTGACATTTTGCATGTAGATTTTAGAAGTTCCTACGCAGCGCAAGTTTGTTTCAAAATGGTGCCACGCCCCCTTTAACGCCCACAATCGCTTATATACGATTTTAAAAATTTAAATATTTCGGAAAAGTAAAAATGTAGTTTTATTGTGTTTATCAATACCTATCGAAATGTAGAAGAAATTTTTCAAATCGGACCATTCGTTAAAAAGTTATGCGTGATCAAAGTTTCTATCTCCATCTCCCTCGCACTCCCTTTACCTGAGTAACGGGTATCTGATAGTCGGGGCACCCGACTATAACGTTCTCTCTTGTTTTTTTTATTATTTTTAGTTAGTTTTTTTTAGTTTTGAGTATTTGGAGAAGGTCCTTAGATATAAGCTATTGTAAAATGTTTTATCGTCTCTTTTATGACCTTATCAAAAGTTGATATTATTTCTCAAGAGTTGTTAAGATTGAGATCAATATCAATTGATGTAGCTTCATCGTTTGAAAGGTCAATGTCAGGTGACAGTTGATCTTGTGTATGTAAGTTTGGGTTTAGTGATTTAATTGTAGGGTTGTCGAATTTTTTAAAAATATCGTATCGATGATATTTGGTTTTTAAAAAAGTATCATAAATTGATATTTTCAAATATCGATATATAGATTATATTTCATTTTTTTCAAAATATATAAATTTTAATGGGAGAGGACATCACAGGCTGCTCATTTAAAATTCACAGCGCACAGCACCCTTAATATTTTGCTTTAGCAAACAAAATGTGAAGAAATTCAAGAAAACGAGAAGCAGAAATTTTTGAACTAAGCTTTTATTTAAGTACTTTTAAACTAATAATATAAAGAAATTGAAGTAAAATAAACATTCATTAAGCCGTCGACTTAAATCTAATTATACATTTTTAAAGTAGGCATATTAAGTAAAATACAAATAAAATGATATGAAATGCTAGGAAAAGAAATCTGTACTTAATGACTTTAAAAGGACTCGCTCGGTTATATGGTTATATACCTTCGATCGACTTGGTAGTTTGTAGTTCGGAACTCATGTTTTAGCAATGCCTTTCAGGCCCTCTTTTTCAACACTTCTAACAGGCATATTGTCTTTACAAATCATTTGTATTAAGGAGTCAGTTTTGTTTTTTTCTTTTGCTGGTTAAAATATTGAATATAATAAATTACTTATATTTAAATTTGTTTACCTTTCTGATTTTCTGCCAAGAACGAAGCTTGAATACTGGGTTGACTTTCACGTACTCCTCTTGTGGTGCTCTAAAATATACAAAATTATACAATTAATATTTTTCACATTCTTGATAAAAAAATGTTGCACTTCCGGCACATGTGCATGTACCACAAAAAGTTAAACCGCTATATTCGTGTTTGTGTGTGTCGCCTTTTATTCATTCCGGCTTTTTGCATTTACTTACCTTTGAACATTTTTGAAAAGCATCCATGTGCCTATTTTTTAAGTGCGATGCTAGGTTAGTTGTGTTTCCACTTGTTTTAATTAATTTTGCTGAGTTTGATTTGAATTCAGTGAAATACTTTTTTGCGCTCATTTTGAGTTTTGAGTTGAAGTTTAAGTTTTGTCGGCGTGGGCTAAGGCTTTAAAGTGACCAACCATTAGAAAGGACCAAAATATCATTTACAAATAATGATATAATATGATAATATTTTTTTTTAAATATCATCGATATATCGATATTTTGATATATTTTCGACATCCCTATTTAATTGTTTTATGACTTGTCTTGCATCATACGGAGTTGCCTTTTTAACGGCTACCCCACACGCGTAGGTCCGAAGAGAGGGTGACTTCAGAAGGCGACGTGCGCCGATGTTGTGTGTGGCGTTGCGCTGGGGCGCTGGGTTTTATTCTGTTAACAATTCAAATCAGACTTATACATTTCAAACTAACTTAAGCTTACCGCAGTGTGCCCTCCTACAATTCACAAGACAATGAGAAGCACAATTTATGGCGGCATCCATGTTACCGAGATTAGTAAGCCCACATTTCAAGGGCCACGAAATCCATACAAATTCGGATAAATTAACAAATACTAGATTTCTCTCACAATACTTATTCTACCTATCGATCACAATGTTTGACCGTCGACATCCCCGACCCCGTGAAGAACCGCTTCACTCAAATCCAAAACCGCGAGTTTTGAGACGGGCCGCAACATTGTCCGAGATAGGCCATTGTCGTTCACGCGCACTGTAGCGCGTCTGACGACTCCATCAGCTCCGCTGTATATCTCCTCCACGATGCCCTTGCGCCACTCTCGTCTGGGCAAGGCAGGATCGCAGACGAAGACCATATCGCCCTGGCGGATGGGCTCCGTTCTTCGGCACCACTTCTCGCGGCGCACAAGCGTAGGCAGGTACTCCAAGACCCACCTCCTCCAGAAACGGTCTCGCAGCATGCGGGCAATCCTCCACTGCTTTCGTGTAGAACCCTCCTTGGGTAGCTCCGCATCCAATCCAGGCGTATTCGGTAGATTAGCTGCTCCCTTGAGCAGGTCGTTTGGCGTCAACGGCGCCTCTTGGTCCGCATCCACCGGCAAGTGGGTGAGCGGGCGCGAGTTGACCACATTCTCCGCCTCGATCAGTAAACTTTCCAACACATGATCCCTCGGCGCGACTTCCTTCAGGGTATGGCGCAGCACTCGCTTGACGCACTGCACCATCCGCTCCCATACTCCGCCCGCAGACGGGTTCGATGGGCAATTGAAAACCCATTCAATGCTTCTGCTGGACAACTCACTCTGTATCCTCTCCGTCTCGAACACGTCTCCAAATCGTCTGGCCTCCCTGTCAGCTCCCACAAAGTTCTTGCCGTTATCACTCCGCAGTCTTTGTACTGGTCCTCTACGGCAGACGAAGTTCCTGATCGCTATTATGCAGGAATCCGTCGACAGGTCATGCGCCAACTCTAGATGAATCGCCCTTGTCGTCAGGCACGTAAACAAGGCGACCCAACGTTTCTCTCTGTGACGGGATACAGTCACCAGCAGTGGTCCAAAGTAGTCCAATCCGGTGTACTTGAATGGCCAACCCCCGCTTCCAATCGATCCTCTGGAAGGGGTCCCATTATCGGCGGCATCGGCCGCGTTCGCTGCAACTTGCACTCGTTGCACGACGAGATTACTTCCTTCATCACTCGTCTCATCTTCGTTACCCAGAATCTCGTCCGGATCTGAGCAATCGTCGCATCCACATTTTGATGCTTCATCTGGGCGTGAAAATGCCTCACAATTAATTCCGTAAGACTGTGCCTGTGTGACAGTATTACTGGCCTCCTCGCACTGTACGGCATGCACAGCGCGGCATCAACTCTGCCATAAGTTCGCAGAACTCCGTGTTCATCCACGTAAGGCGTCAGACCTCGAATCTCACTCGAGCTGGCGACGTTCTTTCCGCATTCCACCGACCTCATCTCGTCGGGGAACGACTCCAATTGGGCCTGTCTGACTAACAGGTTCTCCGCGTTCTCACACTCCTTTGCAGTGAGTCCGTACTCCTCGAGCTCGCTTCTCTGCTTGCGGCACCAGCGCGCAAACCTTAAGACCCAGGCTGTGGTCCTCACCAGGCGACTGAAGCTCGAGTATCTCTGAAACGGAATGACAAATTCATTTGTGGCCACCAGTGCAAACTCACTGGGCATCTCCTCTTCATCAGGCGCATCTGGAACACCCTTAGTTCCCTCCTCAGGCGCCGGCCAGCCGCTCTCAGGCTGCCTCAAAAATGCTGGTCCCCTTAGCCACCGTGATTCCGGGCTAAGGTCCGCCTTATTCTGCGACCGCGTCGCATCATCCGCTGCGTTGTCAGCTGTAGGTACCCATCGCCACTGGGAAACCTTCGACGACTCCAAAATCTCCGCCACTCGGTTGCCAACAAACTGCTTGTACCGGCGGTGGGTGCTGCCGATCCATCTCAGCACCGTTTTTGAGTCCGTCCATAACACCGTCTCGCTGGTGTCCACACTGTGCTCCTCCTTGACAGTGTTCATCAGTCTGGTTCCAAGAACCGCTGCCTGCAGCTCTAGCCTTGGGATCGACATCGTCCTCATGGGCGCGCACTTCGTCTTTGCGCACACGAAGCTAACCAGCACGTTTCCATCCTCGTACGTGACCCTCCAATAGGCCACCGCCGCGAATGCAGATTGACTTGCATCCACGAACACGTGCAACTCGATGGTCCGAACCGCTCCATGACCAAAATATTGGCGTGGACATCGGAACTGTCCCACGGCGTCCATCTCCCTGCGCCAGGCTGCAAAGGCTTTGCCTATTTCCTCTGGTAGTGGTTCGTCCCACTGGATCTTCTGCCTCCAGATCTCTCTCAACAGCAGCTTCGCTGTAATCATCAGGCAGCACAGGAATCCCAATGGGTCGAACGTTGACATCAGCAGGCTCAAATACTCCCTCTTTGTAGGGACTCGATCTCCACTTAGAACGCTACTTGGCACTCGGTGATACTCCACGTTGAACCTGAAGTCGTCCGTGGCTACCTGCCATCGCATTCCAAGGATCTTCTGCTCAGCCTCACCCCATCCGACGCTCTTGACTCGTCCAGGTGGTCCCAACGCCGCTTCCACGATGGGTGAGCTGTATGAAAACTGGCATAACTCGAATCCAGCCTCCGCATGTATCTCTTTCACTCGGGTAGATACACTGATAGCTTCGCTCTCTGTAGCGAAACTGTCCACATAGTCATCGACGTAATGGTGGTCGATGATGGCCTTAACTGCCCTCGGATCTGAATCCCGAAACTTCAGGGCATTCACCGTCTTCACGTAATGCGCAGCGCTCGGCGAGCAGGCTGCTCCAAACGTCATTACGTTCATCTCGTACACATCCGGGTCTCGATCTTCATTGCCATCTCTCCAAAGGAATCGTTGGGAACATCGGTCCTCGGGTCGGATCAGCACCTGGTGGAACATCTCCTTGATGTCACCGCAGACTCCGACTGCTCCTTCCCTGAAGTGGAAGAGCACGGCTGGCAAGGGCTTGTAATGCTGAGGCCCCTTGTCCAGCGCCGAATTTAGAGAGGTTCCTCCAACCTTGGCTGCAGCATCGAACACAAGCCGGACCTTACCGGGCTTGTTCGGGTTTTCGACACCAAAATGTGGCAAATACCATAGCCGGTCGCTCTTCACCGCGACCTCATCATGCTGCAGCTTCCTCGCATATCCTTTGGCTACGTAATCCCTGATGATGCGATCGTATTCCAGCGCCAACTGCCTGTTGCGCTTCAACTTCTTCTCGACGTTGATCAGCCGTCTGTGCGCCATCTCGTAGCTCCGTGGCAGCACAGCGTGGTCATCCTTCCAGAGTAATCCCGTCTGGTAGCGACGCCCTACTTTCACCGTGGTGTCTTCGAGGATCCTTTGTGCCCGCGCGTCATCGCTGCCTGCGACCTGTGGCGCGAGCTTCACACCAAAGCTTTCCATCTCGAAGTAGTCCTCCACCATCTGTTCCATCGTGTCGTCCATTGACACGGCAAGTAGGCAGGACCTCGGTGACGGCGTAGTCGATTGTCCACTTACTGGCCCAAACACAACCCATCCCAGCTCGGTTGCGGCCGCATACGGTCCCTCTCTGGCAAACCGCCTCGTCCTAAGTGGCAATCCTAAATGTCCATTATCCAGTCCGATGAGCAACTTGGGCACCACATTGGTATAGGGCTTCATCGGCAGACGCGCATCCTTATGCACGCCTTGGACATCTCGTCGGCCTAACGTCTGCATCGGCAGACTCAGGCTGGAAACGGAGTACACGTTCCTCAAAGCGTGGCGAGTGGGCTTCCCAGCACCACTTATCTCTAGACTCACCACGTTACTGGGCTCTCTACTAGCCCTTCCTCCGAACCATTGAATGTTCAGCTGTCGACGCTCGCCTCGCACTCCCAGATCCCTCCGTAGCTCGTCATCGATCATCGTGACGGAGGATCCCTCGTCCAAGAGCGCGTATGTGTCCACCTGGCGACCAGCTCCGTACAGCGTTACTGGCAGTATACGGAACAAAAGTCGGCCTCCTTCGGCGTCAATGCAGCTTAAATTCCTCTGCACAGGCGCCTTCGCTGGCTGCGGGGCCCTTCTCTCCAGGCTGTTTCTAGGGACAGCCGACTGCTGGCTCCCTTCGTGGTCCCTGTAACCACCTCGTGGCGAAGCTCTCCTATCCGGGCCGCGTCTGGAAACTGCTGACTGCTGGTTTCCTCCGTTGTGGCGCCTAAAGCCACCTCGCGCCGGCCATCTTCGCTCCTCGTCTGTGCCATGTAGCAGACGGTGATGCAATCTACGACATCCGTTGATCTGGCACTCGCCATATGCATCGCAGGATCCGGTCGTATGTCCGCTCTGTAAGCATGTGAAGCAGAGCCGATGTCTCTTGCCCTCCACAAATTGGACAACCTCCATGCCGATCATCCTGTTGATCGCATCCGTTATGGTCGACGCTCGCATGCAGAACTCGTCGCCTCGGCTCCTTTCCCTCGACGTCCAAAACCGTACACACAACGTTTGCGTACTCCTGTAGCCACGCGCTGAAGTGCGCTACAGTGGGAAAGGGCTCGATCGATGCAGCATGCCTGGCCCAGTCCACTCGCTTGCTCGTAGGTAGCTTTGCCACAAGCTCCTCCATTAGCGTTGGGTTCCACAGGCGCTGCTCCGCCTTCGCTGACTGCAAGAAGGCCGTGAGGTTACTCACTCGGGTGGCGAAGGGAACGATCCTCGCCAGGTGCTGCTCCGAAATCGGCGGCACCTCTCGCACACTGTTCAGCTGGCTGCGTATAAGCTGCTCCGGTCGGCCAAACCTAAAGCGCAGCTGCTCCATTACAGCGCTGACGTTCCCAGGGTGAATTAGCAGCGACTTCACTGTCTCGCGTGCTTCATCCTTCAGCGCCTTCAACAACCTCTGGTTGTTCTCCAAGTCTGTGCAGTTGTATGCTTGGGTCGTCTCCACAAACGCACAGTTGAAAATCGGCCACTCCTCGGGCTGCCCTCCAAATACAGGCAGGTCCGGGAGCCTCCTTGGCCCATACGATCCTTGGATTCCATTCGGCGTCATCGAGGCGTAGGATCCGACAAATGGCGATGCTGTTGCCACGTTGTGGATGCTCCCGCCCGGTAGCACGAATCCATGCGCTGTCTGCGCAACACTCGTAGCACACAGTGGCTCCACATGATGACTGCTAGTCGTTAGCAATGGCGGTCCACTCCAAGATGGCGGCAGCGTGCAGGCCGCACTGCTCGCACCGACACCGCTATGTGGGACCGGCCCGACCCCGTTAGTTGGGGCCTCACCGTTAGATGTGGCTAATGGCGGCCCGCTCCAAGATGGCGGCCGCTCCGACGCTCCACTGTCGGCGCCGTCTGCGCTTGGGCCAACTGCGATTGGCGCGCAATTGGCGGTGCTCGTACTGCTCAGGGTTCTAACCTGCTTCAGCTCCTCCTCCAACGCCGCGATCCTCTTCAACAGGTCCGACGTGAGGGACTGGCTCATCTCCGCAGCTGTGACAGCAGTGCCTCCGGGTTGGGACGCGACTGTAGTCACCGTAGTGGCTGGGCTCGAAATGGCCGCCGCCGAGGTTATTTTCACTCGCGGCCGGTTTTCTGCTCCACTACTCACTGGCTGCTGATCCGCTCGCGCTGCTGTAGGGGTGGCTTCCCCTCCTTTCAGCCGCGTACTCCTCTTGGGGGAATGCTGCATCCCAAGGTCCAAATATGGCGCTCTCCAAAATGGCGGCACCTATGCCTTCTGGCCGCTGCTGCGGCTGCCGTTGCTTGGCGCTCCTTGCGCCTCCTGACCGCTGTCTGCGGTCGCCGATGCTTGGCGCTCCTTGCGCCTCCTGACCGCTGCCTGTGGTCTCCTTAACTGACGCTGCCTGCGTCTCCCTCCGTACCCAGTGTTCGGCGCTGTCTGCGCCCCTCTATGTCGCTGTCTGCGACTCCTCTACTGGTACGGGTATTGCTCCTGGCAACTCTCTAGCTGGTCGTCAAGCCGTCCTCCAGCGCAAGTTGCCCTCCACAGTCTCCCTAGGACTGCGAATAAAAGGAGTTGTCTTGCATCATACGGAGTTGCCTTTTTAACGGCTACCCCACACGCGTAGGTCCGAAGAGAGGGTGACTTCAGAAGGCGACGTGCGCCGATGTTGTGTGTGGCGTTGCGCTGGGGCGCTGGGTTTTATTCTGTTAACAATTCAAATCAGACTTATACATTTCAAACTAACTTAAGCTTACCGCAGTGTGCCCTCCTACAATTCACAAGACAATGAGAAGCACAATTTATGGCGGCATCCATGTTACCGAGATTAGTAAGCCCACATTTCAAGGGCCACGAAATCCATACAAATTCGGATAAATTAACAAATACTAGATTTCTCTCACAATACTTATTCTACCTATCGATCACAATGTTTGACCGTCGACATGACTTAAGCCTAGTATCCAGATCGACAAACGATTACGCTACCGTAAAAACTTTAATCTTTCCAGTGTGACCAAAAGTTTGAGAGTTCATCAGATTTAAGCGTGCTACGGTCGTACTGTCAATCAGCTGGGTTTGTTGACAAGCAGTTAAAATTCAAATATCGTATTTGCGGGAAAGAGCCTTTAAAAGATATTATCAAATACCTTGGCAAGAAAAGTCTACCGCTGTACAAAGAAATTAAAAAACAATACAATTTAAAATTAACAGTTCTTTTTTTTTAATTTACTGATAATTATTTGCTAATTTAAAGTTCATAGCTGCACTTTTATTGTGTTTTTTCGTACATTCTGGACCTAAAAAACATTTTGCTCTGACAAGAGGCACCCCAGATAGTATTAATGTTATTTTGTCCTCACATGTAAACACCTGCAATCGACTTTTGTGAGTTTTTTGAGTTTTTCCCTCCATTTCTTATAATGTTCAGTGAGAAGCGCACGCCAAAAGATTAAATTTTTTAATCTTTTCGCTAGGGTTCACCCAAAGTTTATTTCCGCAGACTGGCAACGCTATGGAATTTTCTGGTATTTTTTTCGTCGATCAGGAGACCGAAGTGAAAAAAAGGCCCGACGAAAAGTGAACGCCAGCTGTTTGCCTCTCGCTCTCTCTCATGACTGGCGTACTGTTTACGTGGAAGTGGATACTAGGCTTTAAAGCCTAGGGTTCGCTAGGGATACTAGGCTTTAAAGCCTAGTATCCACTTCGACGTAAACCGTACGCCAGTCATGGAGAGAGCGAGGCAACAGCTGGCGTTCACTTTCGTCGGGCCTTTTTTCACGTCGGTCCATCGATCGACGAAAAATACCAGAAAATTCCATAGCGTTGCCAGTCTGCGGAAATAAACTTTGGGTGAACCCTAGCGAAAAGATTAAAAAATTTAATCTTTTGGCGAGCGCTTCTCACTGAACATTATAAGAAATTGAGGGAAAAACTCAAAAGTTCATAGCTGCACTTTTATTGTGTTTTTTCGTACATTCTGGACCTAAAAAACATTTTGCTCTGACAAGAGGCACCCCAGATAGTATTAATGTTATTTTGTCCTCACATATAAACACCTGCAATCGACTTTTGTGAGTTTTTTGAGTTTTTCACTCCATTTCTTATAATGTTCAGTGAGAAGCGCTCGCCAAAAGATTAAATTTTTTAATCTTTTCGCTAGGGTTCACGTTTCCGCAGACTGGCAACGCTATGGAATTTTCTGGTATTTTTTTCGTCAATCAGGAGACCGAAGTGAAAAAAAGGCCCGACGAAAAGTGAACGCCAGCTGTTTGCCTCTCGCTCTCTCTCATGAGTGGCGTACGGTTTACGTCGAAGTGGATACTAGGCTTTACTCTGCAAAAAATCAAAACTATCGATAGTGCCACCATCGATGTTTTTGCAGCTCTATCCGAGCGATATATTCGTCTCGCTCTTCGCTCGTCAAACGAGATGGCCTCTACCTCTTTCTCTTTCCAATCCTCCACATTTTGCTATCTAAGCAGGCAGCGAACGCGGCAACCGTTTATTGTGTTTTCAAACGCGAAGTGAACATCAGTGAATATAAATATCAACATAGAAATCGAAAATGGCTTGTACCAAAATGGCTCGTAATTCGCTTTAGGGGTATGGCATTGGGATGTGAACAAAGTGCAAGGTTTTAAGGGAATATCACTTTAACTTTAACATAAGTAACCTATAAACAAAACCTATCTCGAAAAAGTTCAAATTTGTATTTTTTCGATTGGTATTCGGTGGGACTTTTATTAGGCACAAGGTTGTTTGGGACAAGCACAACCCACATGGCATATTCAAATCTGTTTAAAAAATCGAAAAAACTGCAAAACACACTCTGAAAATAAGTTGGCAACGTTTAGGAATCTCTTAACTATTAAACAAATCAAAAATATGTCAAAAATCAATACAATTTATATTTTTTTTTTGATTGGGACTTGGTACGATTTTAAATAAGAGCTAGATTTTAAGGGAATAGCCAAGCCATTCAAATCTCATTAAAAAATCGAAAAACTATTAAACTCAACTTTAAAATAGTTTAGCAACGAAAACGAATCCCTTATTTATCAAATAAAACTAAACCTATCTCGAAAAAGTTCGAATTCGTATTTTTTTTCGATTGGTATTTGGTGGGACTATTATCAGGCACAAGGTTGTAGGGGACAAGCACAACCCACATGGCGTATTTAAATCTCTTTGAAAAATAGAAAAACTGCAAAACACACTCTAAAAATAAGTTTGCAAATATGTTGAAAATCTAGATTGTAAGGGAATAGCCAAGCCATTCAAATCTCATTAAAAAATCGAAAAACTATTAAACTCAACTTGAAAATAGTTTAGCAACGATAACGAATCCCTTATTTATCAAACAAAACTAAACCTATCTCGAAAAAGAGCAAATTTGTATTTTTTTTCGATTGGTATTTGGTGGGACTTTTATCAGGCACAAGGTTGTATGGGACAAGTCCAACCCACATGGCATATTCAAATCTCATTAAAAAATCGAAAAACTATAAAACACACTCTGAAAATAAGTCAGCAGTGTTGGGGAATCCCATAACTATTAAACAAAATAAAAACAATGCAATTTATATTTTTCTTTTGATTGGGACTTGGTACGATTTGTAATAGGAGCAAGATTGTATGGGAATAGTCAAGCCAAATTTGCCTATTTTAGACAAACTATCATAAACATTACTAAAAAATTAAGTCGACCAAGCATGCAAATGATTTGTTTAAGAAAATCTTAAATAACTATAACATTTTAAAACTTTTATATTTTTTTTATCTCGAAAACTAAACCGAATGTACCCTGGAAGCAAACTTTTTATGTCGACTGGGATCAACTTGGAACAAGTAATAAAATATCTTAATTAATGAAAACGCATTAAATTTTCAATATTTCCTAAAGTAAAAAGTTCAAATTTCATTTTGTATTAAGAATCGTACAAATATTTGTTAGATTTCTAATTTTAAAATAGGTTTTTAAATAAATTGCTCAAATTACAAATGACAATGTTCAAGTTTATTCAGCGATAAAAGCCCAACGAAACAAGATATTACATTTTCATAAATGCAAAGTGCTTCATGAAACATTTAAGTTCGTATAGAATCACAACATTGTTTCGATTAAAGGCCTTAAACACTAAAAACAAGAAAATAAGTTTGCACTTCAAGCAGACATCAGCACAGCAAATGACTGATGTCAGACCAAAGACCAATATAATCTCTAAGATGCGTAACGCCATACGATTTTTTTGCACACGAATTTTTTGTGCTGGCTTTTCAACTGGCTTTTCGCTCTCCTGCCCAAAAGCAAGCGAGAGAACGCTCTAAAACCAGCCGCTCTCTTGCACGCATACTGCGACAGCCGACGACTGTATGTGTGCACATGTATTCACAAGCGAAGAAATTCGCTGCAGCGCGCTGTCGAAATATACTCCTTTTTTTTAAATTCTAACATTATTAAAAATACTTATTTTGTATTGCCTTTATATTTACTTTATTTATTAATTATTCGAATGTATAATATTTTTTAGTAATGACCAAATATATCTAAGTATAAAAAAAAAACATAATTTATTTCATACATGACTTTACATTGGAATAATTGTCATTAGGGTATTCAGCATGAGACGTGTGAACGATTTTTAGGGGCCTCACAAATTTAGCGATTGAACAGGATGGATATTTTTATATTTATTGTCTTTTAAATATATGGATTTAAAAATATGTGGTGTTTTTACATTATACGTATTATAATAACATTATATAATATTATTATCTATGTTGGTTTCGTATCGACCTTGTAAAACAATAATTGTAGTGTTATTGAATTACTCGAGGTAGATAGCTGATGAGTCTGAGGTGACTTGCAGACGAAACTAGCTAGTCCTATCATAGTCGGGTTCACTCCCCAGGGAGTGTAAGTGTGATGAAAGTTAAGTGGAATAAATCGTTGTGTTATAGAAGAAATTAAAATATAACCAACGTATGACCTCGAGTAATTCAATAACACTACTAAAATTATTATCATAATATAAATTAAATTTATATAAGTATTTGTATATTAACTATTTTAGTTTTTTAAAAAAAAGAGAAACCCAAAGGGGAAACAAAAAGGTTTGCGCGCTTTTTTTTCCAAACATAGGCGAGCGCTTTTGGGTGAAAACTTTTTGTTTCTCCTTTGGGTTTCTCTTTTGCTTAAATAGTGAAACTTTAATAAGTTTGTT